AGATAGATAGATAGATAGATAGATGATAGATAGATAGATAGATAGATAGATAGATAGATAGATAGATAGATAGATAGATGATAGATAGATAGATAGATAGATAGATAGATAGATAGATAGATAGATAGATAGATAGATAAATAGAAGATACAACATCTCCTCTTCTCCCAGTTGCTTGTAAGCCTGGACAGTTTCTCTCGCACAAGCTGAGAATTTCTAGAAAATGACCAAGATCGTTTGTCTGTTTCCGTTAGGAGGATGGAGGCCTCGTGCTTGGAATTAGCTCTGGAAGGAGAGCGGGCGTGCAAGGCGGGGGATTTCCCTTCCGGAGCTGCCTTCTTCGAACACGCAGTCAAAGTGGGGACGGAGGATCTGAAGACCCTCAGTGCCATATACAGCCAACTGGGCAACGCCTACTTTTACCTGAAGGACTATGCCAAAGCTTTGGAGTACCATAAGCACGATCTCACGCTGGCCAGGTAAGCGCTCTGCAGCCAGAACTGAGCCCTCTGGAGACATGAAGGAGGAACCGAGTCTGGGGCTGCAATGCTCAAGCCATGCCAGGTTGGCAAAACTTCCACCCGCAGGAAAAGAAAGCCAGAATGTTCCATTTTCCCTTTTGAGGTGGTGGGGTTGGGCTGGAAAAGAAAGAGAGGTGATCTGTGGGAGATGGAAGGAGCTTATGGGGAAGCTGGGAAAAGGAAGAGAAATAGAAGCAGTCAAGAAAAGGGATACAGGTACAGATTAACGGAGTTGGAAGGGACCTTGAAGGTCATCTAGTCCAACCCCCCGCCCAAGCAGGAGACCCGACACCATTTCTGAAAGAGGGCAGTCCAGTCTCTTCTTGAAAGCCACTAGGGATGAAGCTCCCACAACTTCCGAAGGCAACTTCTCTTCCTTTGACTATAGAATGCCAGAGTTGGAAGGGAACTTGTAGGTCATCTAGTCCAACCCCCCGCCCAAGCAGGAGACCCTACACCATTTCTGACAGATGGCTGTCCTGTCTCTTCTTGAAAGCCACTAGGGATGAAGCTCCCACAACTTCTGAAGGCAACTTCCGATCCATGGGTTGATTGTTCTCCCTGTTAGAAAATTCCTCCTTATTTCCAGGTTGAATCTCTCCTTGTTCAGTTTCCATCCATTGTTCCTTGTTTGGCCTTCGGGTGCTTTTGGCTGCCTGCAATTTGGCAGTTTGAATCTCACCAGGCTGAAGGTGTCAGCTCCTCCCCGTTTCATGGCAGCTGAAGCAACAGCAAAGCAGAAGCTGACAGAAGGCTGACTCAGCCTTCCCTCCTTCCGAGGTGGGTCAAATGAGGACCCAGATTGTTGGGGAGCCATAGGCTGACTCTGTAAACCGCTTAGAGAGGGCTGGAAAGCACCATTAAGCAGTATATAAGTCTAAGTGCTATGGCTGCTTCTTCCAAGAGAAAACTCCCAGCATCTTTTCCCAATGCCCGCAGAACCATCGGGGATCGGATCGGAGAGGGCAAAGCCAGCGGCAATCTTGGCAACACGCTGAAAATCCTGGGCCAGTTCGACGAAGCCTTGGTTTGCTGCCAGAGGCATCTGGACATCTCGCAGGAACAAGGAGACAAGGTAGGAAGGGGGACCCCCTCAGTGACCATCCAGCCTCTGGCAAGGAAAACAGCAGCCTAGGGTGGGGAGGAACGGAGAGGAGACCCTCTTAGCCTTACACAGTCACAGGATGGTAGCTTTTAACTCTACAAACCATGTCCCATCCAAGCCACACTGATATGGGGCTGACTCCTAGCTAAAGTAGTGTTTCTTAACCTTGGTGATTTGAAGATGTGTGGACTTCAACTCCCAGAATTCCCCAGACAGAACGGGTTAAGATTAGGTTAAGCTGGGGAATTCTGGGAGCTGAAGCCCACACACCCTAAAATTGCTACGTTTGAGAAACATTGAGTTAGGATGTGAATTCAAGTTGGTTGAAGATGCTTACAGGAAGAGGCCTCATTCTAAGCTGCACGGAGGTGGCATAGGCATGATGATGAGCAGGAACGCACCAGGGTGCAAAAAATGTGCTTCCTTTTCACGATGCAGTGGAGACGGATGGCTTCATTCCCATAATTTCTGGGATGACATCATGGCTTTCCCTCTGAGAGTCTTACATTTCTGAATGAAGCTTTGGACAGGGGAGGTTTTCTGACCTAGGTTTCTCCAGCAGCACGAAGCTGAGTCTTCCTCCCGATAAACTCCTTTTATTTAATTTACAGTGAATTCTTCTCCAGCAAAGTCTTTCCTCTCCTGCAAATCTTTCAAGATAGTTCCCAATTACCGGCTTTGATCAGGCTTGGAGAATGGCCAGGCCGATATTTCTCAGATGCCACAATATTTGGCAAGAATGCAGGAATGGACTAATATCTCCTGCAAACTCCACTCCCCTTTCGCCCCTCTTTTACTTCCTCTGGGAGAGGCTATTCTCCATCCACCTGGGGCCCTCCTCCCAAGTCGACCCATGTTCCTTAGTTGTTCCCTTCTCCTGGCAGCTCTGTGCATGCACACACTGGGAACAGGCTCCAGCTGTTCTTCTGCCTCACTGATGTCTGACTCTGAAGGCAGCTGATAACTGGCATATGGCCCTGGCCCCCTCTCTACCTCCAACACAGAGCCCTCATCAGAGCCTTCTCCAGACACCAGGACCGGCCCATGTTCCTCCCCAACCCTCCTCACTCTCTGAATCTGCTGCCAGCTCTGCTGGCCGCTTGCACGCTACAACACAGG